TGTGTGTGTGTGTGTGTGTGTGTGTGTGTGTGTGTGTGTGTGTGTGTATGTGTGTATACGAATTATTTCCTAGAAACATAATTTTGGGCGATGTACCTTAACTGGTTACTTACTGCACCCTATCGACCATTTTATGTGCTAAATAATATTATGTACTTACTAACTATGCTTGGTGTAGCCTGCATTTTTCAGTTTTAGAACTGACAACTCTGTGTATGAATAGGGATTGAACTTTTGTCTAAAGACGCATTTATTTGTTCAACACTATAATCTGCCAATAAATTTGGTATGTGAGAATGTGTGTGGGTTAGGGAGGGTTTTTTCTGTGTCCGTTGTGTTGTGTTGTGTGTTGAGTGTGTATATGAGTGTGTATGTGTGTGTGCGCGCGCACGTATGTGCGTTTGGTTGTGTATGTGTGTGTGTGTGTGTGTGTGTGTGTGTGTGTGTGTGTGTGTGTGTGTGTGTGTGTGTGTGTGTTGTTGTTGTTGTTTTTGTTGTTGCTTATTGGTCTCACCATTTGCATTTTCTGTCATTGGTTTCATTATTTAAGTTGAGTGATGATTCTGCATTGCACAGCTCTTGGAGTCTTCCAGGGATAAGTCACTATATAAATTCCCACAATGATTGTTGTTACGCATATTAGTCTTTATTCAAAATGTGCCACAACATTGCATTTGGCTTGCAGCTGGTCGAACAAAATGAGTTCGTTTTGTCCATAAAGGATTAAATGGCTTTCTGGTTGTTGTTTTTTTAAGTACTATTTTTGTACTCTGTCGAATATGTATAAACGACTACTTGTGAAACACATTAGCTTGTGCAAAGAATCACTTCCAAATCCTCCCCCCCCCCCTTTTTTTTTTCTTTAGAAAATACATTATAACGACATTGTACAAGCGACCACCTTTAAGATGGCTACTTTTCTCGATAATTGGCTGTCTCAAACATTTTATTGTACTTTATTTTCTGCGTGAAAAAGTGGTTGTGTGTGCATATATATGTGTGTATGTATGTGTGTGTGTATATGTGTGTGCATGTATATGTGTATGTTTGTGCGTGTATGCATGTATGTGTGTGTGTATGTGTGTATGTATGTGTGTGTGTGTGTGTGTGTGTGTGTGT